CATCATTGTCTACGACTTTTTCTGTTTGATTTTTCATAATTTTCTTCACATTCGTCATATTCATATGGCCTAAACGTCTATGCCACAATTGATTTTCTATAGTAACTGCTTTGTTCGTCTGCTTTTTAGTCTGGTTCGCATGTTCTGAAATTTCTTCTTCGTAAATGTAGTGCAATCCCCCAACTTTTATAGATTTGGCAAGAATTCCTCCTTCTTCTGTTCCAATTACTGCTTGCTTTCCATTAAATTCCACTTTCATACCTCTTTCTGCGGCAAGAGTAGTTGAAATCAGATTGGATTTTAATGATGGAACATACAAAACAGCTTTCAATGTGATTTCCGCCCCTCCATTCTCTTTCTTCAATTTTAGATTTACGTCACCATATCCAGTTGATGTTAGTGTTCCTCCTCCAGCAACTTCAATGTATGTTTGCATTTTCGTAAAATTGCACAACTTCTCTTTTTGAAAAGTCATGTGATCTGTAGCACCACTATCCAATAACCAAGTGTTAGAATTTGGCAAGTTTTTAGCTACATGCAATAAATGATCTTCCTTCAACGCAATTCTTGAATTTATTGAACTGAAAACTGCTCTGGAAGAATTTCCAGCTTCTTCGTTGTTTGGAACAGACTGTATTGGCTTCGATAAAGGACAATTCTTTCCAATGTGTCCCATATCCAGACATCGGTAACATCTGAGATTTTCATGAGAAACACGCTGACTCGTCTGCATGTCTGGCATATTATGAGTATTCTCATGAGATCTCTGCCTGTTTTGTTTGTGATTTCTTCCGCCCTTTTTATACTGCGTAGGGTATTTTCTATGAGACATGAATGCTTTCGTCGTATCACTTCCTTCTTCTTTCGTAATATTTTCGATTCTTCTCTCTTCCTCTAATAACTTTGCTTTTAGCTTGCACATATTGAGGTCATCATCGTCTGCTCGTAAATTTCTTGATAGAAATTCGTATTCACTTGGCAAACCAAGCACTGCAAAACCAGCTTGAACTTTATCGGCAAATTCGAAACCAGCATTTTTCACCTTATGATATAATCCATTTCTTCGGGTCAAGTATTCATTGATATTTTCGGCTCAAGTTTCGTTTAGCTGAAATCAGTTATGAAAAAAGTGTTGCTATGGCAACGATCGTCATAGTAACGAGTAAACAAAAACCCGATTCCCGTGGTGAGGAAATGCGTGGTTGCCAAGTTGTATCGGGTTTAGTATAGCTGAAATCAGTTGTGGAAAAACTGTTGCCATGGCAACGATCGTCATGATAACGAGTAAACAAAAACCCGATGCCCATGGTGAGGAAATGCGTGGTTGCCAAATTGTATCGGGTTTAGTATAGCTGAAATCGGTTATGGAAAAACTGTTGCCATGGCAACGATCGTCATGGTAAGGAGTAAACAAAAACCTGATTCCCGTGGTGAGGAAATGCGTGGTTGCCAAGTTGTATAGGGTTTAGTTTGGCTGAAATCAGTTTTGGAAAAATTATTGCCATGATGGCAACGATCGTCATGGTAACGAGTGAACAAAAATCCGATTTCCGTGGTGAGGAAATGCGTGGTTGCCAAGTTGTATCGGAGAATTATTGCTTCATTCATCAATTTCAAAAACACTCTTCAATGTAACCATCCTTCGCGTGCCGAGCTATTCGACAAAATCAAAAAGAAACAGAGCCATTTTGGAATATTCATTACGAGGTATCGCGCAGGATATAGGAAGAGAGACTTCAGGTACTGATTGTCTAATACAGATGGAAACATTTCGTTAGACCCACCCACATTTCCATTTGCCTTCATTTCGATTCACCCATACCTTTCTTCACGCGCACATTTTGATTCAGCAACAGTCTTCGAACATACACGAACGATGCCTTGCTACCAAATCTGAACGATGTTGGAAAATATATGTTTTTCAAGAAGAAGGTTGATTCAAGTCGAGTTAGGTTAGATTGTTTGGAAAAAGTAGTGTCCTTTTCTATGCAGTCTTCAAACACACACGAACGATGCCTTGCTCCCAAATCTGATCGATGTTGAAAAATATATTTTTTCTAAGAAGGTTCATTTAAGCCGAGTTAGGTTAGATTGTTTAAAAAAAGTAGTATCCTTCCTTATGCGCTATTTGTTGTTCCGCACTATTTTGTCGCCCGCTATTTTGTCTAGCTCTGTTCAATAACAAAGCCTATTTTTTTTCTGACGTTATTTCCATATATGATCGTCAGAGAAGTAGTAATTTTGGGAATTTATCAACGACGAACAGTATTCAAGAAATTGATAAGAAGGGTATTCATTCGAATCAAGTTATTGTTTGAATACTAGCAAGAACTTTTGTGGAACAAAATTTGATGCTGATTTCAGCTATACTAAACCCGATACAGCTTGGCAACCACGCATTTCCTCACCACTGGAATCGGATTTTTGTTTACTCGTTACCATGACAATCGTTGCCATAGCAACAGTTTTTTCATAACTGATTTCAGCCAAACTGAACTCGATACAACTTGGCAACCACGCATTTCCTCACCACGGGAATCTGGTTTTTGTTTACTCCTTACCATGACGATCGTTGCCATGGCAACAGTTTTTCCATAACTGATTTCAGCTATACCAAACCCGATACAACTTGGCAACCATGCATTTCCTCACCACGGGATTTTGTTTTCTGTTTACCTGTAACCATGACAACGGTTGCCATAGCAACAAATTTTCCATAACTGATTTCAGCTAAACGAAACTTGAACCATATTTTCGTCTGATTTCTTGGATGTGTTGACAAAATCTTTCAGAAGAAGTAATCCGTGCCAAGTATCATATTTGGTATGGATTTGTCTTAGCGTTTCCCAAATATCTCTGGCAGACTTGCATTCCATAACGTCATCTAAACTATCATTATTTATCAATAAATACAAAATGGATTTAGCACTGTGATCAAGTCTTTTGTTATTTGCCAATGTTAGGTCCGCATCCGTTAATCCTGGATCTATAATACTCCAAAGATTTTTGACCTCGAGAATTCCTTGAGCTCTCATTGACCAATATCTGTAATTTTCTGAATTCAATTTCTCCACCTTGAACTCGTCCATGATCAGATTTCAATCCTTGTATATTTTACAACGTCCTATATACTTGTGTTATCTGATTGGTTTGAATCTTCGTCGTCCCTTATATTAGATTCAATAATTTCTTCACTGATATTCACTACTGTTGGGTATCTGGGCCCATAACCTCTTAGAACTGAGTATGTTCTACACTGAATTCTGCAGCGGTAAACTTGTAGGAATCGTATTTGAAGAAATACAAGATATAGAAATTGATTGACGCAATGACTTTTTTCAGAAAAATTATATTGACTTCTATCAAACTCAAAACTTCAGAACAAACACATTTGATTTATATCATCCTCGTACATACAGTGTCTTGAAAATCGCTTGAACAACAATATCTTCTCACAATTTTGACACCTAGGTATAAGTCGTTTTCATTACTGAAATGTGAGAAACAATGTCTTCATCGTTTTGAATCCATATAGAAATTGAAAAAACATATTTCCGATGAGTTAAGTTGATTTTACTCGTTAGTAGGTAAGGTTTATTATTAAAATTTCAGGAACATTAGAAGCATAACATCTGATAATACAGGGTCTCTATAAATGATCTTAACATCGTAGTGGCTGTTGACATTTTTTTCCATTTGCCGCTTTCTACTAATGCTGTTAACAACATTTAACGACCAAAAAGAGAGAAAGTGATGATATACAGGATCTTTTTTTATATCGTTTTGCATACACTATGGAAATGTATCTCAAAGAAAGAAGAATCCAATATTGGAGTTTGGAAAACAATGGACCGAATCAAAAGTATTTATTGAAGGAGTAATAAATGATGATTTATATTTCATTAACCTACATCAAATGTTCAAAATGTTGTTCTCCAAGCGTTTCAAAACTCCGTTTGTTGGCGAAAATGTTCCTCAGCATTTCCGGGCCAATATTTTGGCAGCAATGTGTAATTGAGGCTTGCAAGGTTATTATTGTCTGTCTTGAATATTTCGCCTTTCAAATATTCAAAAAGGCAGAAATTCAAAGGCGTCAAATCTGGAGATCGTGTTGGAAAAGAAGGATTACCTCCTCGACTAATCACACGGTTGTCATAAAATTCTTGTAAATATTCTAAATTTGCACGTGTGGTGTGGGCAGTGGTCCCATCTTGCTGAAAATTGCCAACTCGAATTCCTTCATCATCAAGTTGATTGCGATGAATGGTTCTAACATCACTTGTCTGTACCTTTCACCATTGATAGTGCCATCGAAGAAAATCGGTCCATATATTCGCCTACGAGAAACTGCTAACCACACCGCAATTTTTTGAGAATGTAGTGGAGTCTCAATGAAATTGTGGGGATTCTCAGATCTCCAAAACCTGAAGCCTCATCGCTGAAAAATGTTAGGTTCAATAGCTGGTCATCGTTGAGATTATTTTGGAACCATTGACAGTACTCCAGACGACGCGGGATATCTATTGGCAAAAGTTGCTGTAGTACACTGGTCTTGTAAGGGTGCATATGCAATATTTTCTTGAGTACTTTATGGCATGTACTTAGTGGCACATCAGATAGTAAATACATGTAAATATAATCTCTTTAATGACGTTCTGACGGGATTTTGCTCAACACGCGCCCTTAGATTTTCGACAACTTCTTCCGATATTTGGGGCCTTCCTGTTGATTTATTTTTATTAATGATTGATGTCAGAAATTAAATTCGAATGTGTGAATCTCCATAAATGAAAGGCGGCAAATGAAGAAAATATTTCAACGGCTACTACGATGTTACGATCATTTATAGAAACCCTGTACAATCTGATAATACAATGTCTACATCCAGATGAAAATTAAGGAAACATATTCCCGATGAGTTTAGGTAAATGTGACGCACCACATTTCTTCAATAGAAAGTGATTTTATACTTTCTCGTCACTGAGGTTTATAACTCAAATTTCAGGAACATTGAGAACATTAATTCGTTCTCAACCATAACATCTGATATTACATGTCTACATGGTACTGCGTTCTGTAATTAATTTAACTCATTTGAACATAGTTTTTATTCAATTAGAATAAGTATTGTCATCACAGTATGAATTTCAGACAGTAAGTACTTTTGCAATCATTATTATTTCAACTTTATGAATCTGTGCATTGGTCTTTGTCAACAACACAACGGTTTTTGACTACGTTAGTGAAATAGTCGGCAGATTTCCTCTTGATTCTTGGCCTATCAGGGTCATTGAAGTCAACACGATACATTCCCAAGAAAGATCTGAAATCGAAAATCATTATAGTAGATATATTCCGTATGTAATACAAGTGTATTGATAATTATCGGTAATGCGCTCGTGTGGTTACCAGTTGTATTTGTTGAGATTATTCCATAAATAAAACAATATTTTCAACTCCACTCTTTTATTTGATGCAGTTTTCGCTTGTGCAACTGAAAATACCCTGCAGATTTGCCAAAATGGCGTGTCCTGTCATTATTGAAAATCATATTATGTTTAGCGGGGTCACTTATGAGTTGAAGTTGAGGTTGATTATAATATTTCTTCGAGATGTCGTTTATACAAAATCGATCTAAAATACTTTGAAACGAATTAATAATGGTTTACTATCTCGGTTTTGGTTGAAACAGAGTTTCTGAAATAACGAAGGTATGGCGTTTATTGGATCTTGCTCAATGGGGATTATCAGATATTTCCATGAGTGGAGATAGGCTGAATCTGGAAGGTGAAGTGAAGTCATTCGGCGATATTTCTGATTTCCAATAGGAATTTCGTATCTCAACTTATATTTACTAGAAATTGGGATATCGTACCCATGGGTGTCCCAAAAGCAGCCTGCCGAACTTCACCAGCGGCTTCTACGACCAATAATTGAAAGAAAAGTTTCAATGAACATGAGCCGAGAAATCAAAATGAAATGATATATTTCCGAAACGCCACGTGATAAAATGATGCAAATTTGTGGAAAAACTGAACATTCCATGCCCAATGCAATGAAAATGAAATAATTCAAAAAAAGTGTATAATACATATATCGAAGACTGGAACCTTTGGCACGATAATACACTACACTGTTTTACCACTAACCAAACCGATTTTTTAACGCCTCGACACGTGTTTCGCTAACTATGTTAGCATCTTCAGGAGAAGATTGAAACTGAAGATGCTAACATAGTTAGCGAAACACGTGTCGAGGCGTTAAAAAATCGGTTTGGTTAGTGGTAAAACAGTGTAGTGTGTATAATACATGGTGGGACTGCATTAAATATGGCCAAGCTGCGTTTTGTATGCATATATATCATGCAATATTGATACACTCACAGCTACATAATGTTGAAGCATTTTTCAAATCATAGTGGCTATAAAAAAATCAACTACTTTCTCTTCACCGAACAATCTCATGAATAATGTGAATTCTTCCAGATTCAACTTATCTCCATTCATTGAAATATATATTTCTCACGTCGAAAATAAATATTTAAATTCGAATAGATCCTATGCGGAACTAAGAAATTGAATTTAAATATTTCAATAGATTTTTGTGAAATGAATGAACTCCATTGTCAATTATGCACACGAAAAAATGGAAATTTTGCGGTTTATAATGCAATGTAGAATGATTTTCATCTGGTTCATCACGTTTTCGTAAATGTATGAGAATATCAGCTGACTAGAATCGACTAAAAAAATCGACTAAAATTTGTGGATTCGAGTGGCTTGCGATATTTTCCTTTCATTATAGTTTCGACCAATGATGATACGACCATATCAAAATAGTAAAATCAAACATTTCTATCGGTGATATGGAAGCAGTGAATGATGTTACAAAAACGTCGAAATCTCAATTTTGTGTAGGTAGAAAAACTCAACGCCAAATAGGAAAATCCAATCGTATTCTCAGATTTGGCATAAACTGTATAATTCTTTCAATCCTTATTTGCACAAGCAGACATGATGGCACCCCATGTAGTCATATCGAGAATTTGAGTTGGCACCATAATATCAAAAGGGCAACAACGCCACAACCTATCAATAAACTTTCCTAGATTGAGTCTAACCATGTGGAGTAAATCAATAATTATCAGCATGCCGCAGAATGAATATAATGAATTGTCTGCAAAAAATTTCAATGAACGACATCAATATTGTAGGGGTACTCTCAGATCCACATTTCTCCTACTTATACATATTATATCTCTAAATCGGAAGATTCATTAAATGCAAATGATGAGAAGCCTGATTGGAATGAGATATACATATTGAAAGCTTTCTGATAATGCTTATCATTCTTAACAACAATCACGGTAAAGAATCACTATGTGAACTTACGAGTATCCTCCTGTCCATTCCCAATCATCTATGATACTCCAAGTAACATAGGCAGTCAAATTCACATTGTCTTTGTATATTGCATCCAAACAACTGCTCAGATATCCCTAGAAACATCAATGAAATGTCGTAAATAAAAAGTGTATGTATATATTGCTGAATGTAGGAAAACGTATCTCCCAAAACCGATTTCAATTAATACATTGTCATTCAAAGTTTTTCCCAGGTGATGCCGACTTTATGAATGCCACTGTACAGGGTTCGCCTCTTGAAATTGAATCACCCCTTACTCTTTTGTTTTCAGAGATGTGAAAAAATTTCTAATTGAAAAGTTCTTTGAAACGACCCGAACTTCTATTTTGTGAAGTTGTTCCATATACAGGATCATTCGTTTTACCAGGAAGGACATTAAATTTGATTTTTTATATAACGTCTGACATGTCGATGAATTTTTTTTTTCTGATTCCAAAAATATATATGAGTTGCATATTTGGATAGATAATAATTGAATTGCATTCAAACTGTCCATTCATTTTTTTTGGTATTGAAATTAATCAATTTCAATTGGATGATAAATAATATCATGACATTTTTATGGAGCTCAAATAATATATAAATATTATTTGAAAGCATAGTGGGCAACTCACATTAGATGATATGAAGTGAAGGTTCATATAAAGCTGTATTTTTGTAAACTCACATCATCAATAACTCATCTATTCCTCATCCAAACATGCAACTCATATATATTTTCGAAATCAGAAGACTTTATCGACATGTGGAAAAATATAAACGGTGTACTGTCGAAAACATCGAAGTTCAAGTCAATTCCGACGAAAAAATGACCATGTCAACAATTTCACGAAAGTAATGGGACACCCAGTATAAGATCGATGGCTCGCACATATAGCTCAAGTGCCTTCAATTCCGGTAGATTGTAGGTAGCATATTGACTAACTACAAGGCTTGAATCATAAAAGTTCAACATTTTTTCGGAAATTCCACAGAATTTGATCTGAAAAATTTGCTCTTTCAGATGTCAATATAAAGGTATGTTTCTGGAAAGAAAAAATGCGATGACGGCATTACTTCAGTTCATGAAGAGATATGGAAACTTGGCTCAAAATGGAGTTTACTCGATTTGGTTCAAGTATGTCCTTCCAATCTTCTCTGTTTGTCCTTTTCATATTCACCAAAAATTACCTGATAATATCCAACACGTCTGTCATCTTCTAATGTAGCATCGGTATCAGCATATCCATTTTCAGTAATTATAATTTCTTCGTCACCATACTGGTTTTTCAACCAATTCAGAAGTTTCCTAAGACCCCATGGCACGACCTAAAATATCAATTATTCAATCAAAATCATAAATCGATCACAATCACGGTGTTGTTCGGCAGTACAATTTCCAATGGAACGACAGAATTACTTCGAATATTCAGAACATCGTGATAGAACTTGTAGAAAATATGTTTAGTGCATTTAACATATTGCTGATATCTTATGTTTTTCCCGTGTATCGTACACTATTTTTTCTGTGTGAGGAAAGACGACGATTCGATATTGAGATGATACACGGAAAAAAGGAATTGTTGAATCAAGCAAAATTTAATTGAATGGAGCAAATAAAAATGTCATATATGCACGACAAAATATAATCTTGAAATGAGTAAATCTATTTCTTGTTTCAGAGCGAATTTGAAGTTTGAATCAAATAAATATGTCTTCAATCAAGCACATCCATGGATTGTTCATGAAGAGATATTGAATTGGCTCAAACAATCATTTTGTCCGATTCATTATAACAAGATATTGATTCAATCAAATATTTACTTGATTCAACGAAATATTTGGTTGATTCAAAACAATATTTGGTTGATTCAATGAAATATTTGTTTGATTCAATGAAATATTTGGTTAATTCAATGAAATATTTTGTAGATTCAAGAGTAACTATATATCCATTCGACAAATGTTTTGTTGAACCAAATTCAATATTCGGGAATTTTCTGAAATTTCACATCAATAGAATAACAAAACTAGAGAACTAGTCGACTCCTAGAAGATTTTTAGTCTTTAATTCTCTTTAGCTGATGGAAAACTATTTCGGATTGCTAATCATCCTAAGTGGGATTTATCCAGCTGCCAAACAGGAAGAATCAGGCTTCACGTATATAATGAATTCGAGGCAGGCACAGACGAGGCGATATGATCGCCATCTAGAAGTGAACATTTAAGTTGATGTGGATTGAACAAAATATTTCATTTATATTCGAGCAAATGCGATCCGTTCGAAACGAGTTCATTGCTACATCGGAATAAGAAAACTTGTATGTTATTTCATAGATATATTCTCATCAAAATGATCATTGTTTGATCAAATCAACGAAATGTTTATAGTTGAATCAACATCGACATTATTTTGGATCGACATGATTTGTTTTTGAGGAAACCATATATTACGTTTATGGAATTGATATTATACTGTTGTTTCAATTAGACTACATTCTTGATTTGAATAAGCTGCTTCCATGGAATAATCATGTATCTGGTTGATTCAACAAAAAATTGCTCAGACCAACAAAAATGATTCAAGCATAAATGATTTGTTGATGCAACAAATCCTTTTTTTCCGTGGTATCACATTATGATGAAATCAGGAAATTATCGATGTGGAATTTGAAGTTTTTGGACTATTTTTCTTTATTTCTCAATCATTACTTAAATACCTTTCGATTTCATATTTTCTAAGAATTTTTCGGTCGATTTTATGCCACGGTAACTTTCAAACGGCTAGAAATTTACCGCAAGTATTAGCTGACGCCACGATTTCGTGACTAGAAGCAGACCATAGCACAGTTGCCATGTGTTGAAATACGATTGGGAACTTCAGAAATATTAGTTATTCAATAATTCATAAATTCTCAATTGAGTATTGGTAATATTCTTAATTAGCAATAAAACTTCAATTGTCTCAGAATGTTCCTTTATGATTCGTGGCGAATTGCTAATAATAAATTTGTGTGATTAATAATTATATTATGTCACACTAGGAGACATGTGAATCGGTGAATGTGACAACACGGCGCACGACGGGCGTGATCTAGTCAGTTCTCAGCATTCATAACAATGTTGCGAGGTGTTACGGCTCCATGGAAAGAAGACACCTTGTATCGTGAAGATTCCAGTCAGCTCTGATTTTTTGAGTTTTTGTTTTGTCTTGGTGATAAGAATTTATTGACCAGAAAAGAATTGAATTTGTATGTGATTGATATAAAGTTGATTTCTTGAAAAAGTAATTTTAATCTGAAAATACAGTCCATCGATAACACGAGGTCTCCAACATCTACATGATACATGATGATATGGAGAATAAAAAATATTTGGACATGCTGGTCGCTCGAAAAAGTCGAGAATGAACTATACTATCATGAATTCCTCCTATTATGTTTTATTCAACGACAGGACTCTAACATCTTCTTGATAACTTGATTATAATTAGTGACTTGACAACCCTGCTTCATGAGTAGAAATAGAAGATTATCTGACCAATAACGAAACAACATAAAAACTGACATCACCATTCATTTGACGTATCGCCAAATGGCGGCCATGAAGGTTCGTTTAAAATGAACTCTAAAATGCAACAATTCCGAAGAAAAAAAAATTACATAGGAAAGGCGTGAGAATTGTTGCAAAAATTAATGTATAGGTTCCTAACGACTCAGTGGAGTAATTGAATATCAACAATTCATTATCAGTCCACTCGCTCATTACATCTGTCATTCAGGCAACTTCATTGTTGCTATGAGAACCTTTTGAAGTAATCGAATATCTGTCAATCTTAGTGGTGCCCGCGAGAGTTTCGTTTTCGAGAGTCTCGCATGGTCTCGTCTCGTTTTCAAGACGAGACTCGAGACGAGACTTTCATTAGTCTCGTCTCGAGTCTCGTGCGAGACTTCTCGTGTCTCGTGCGAGAGTCTCGCAGGTAAATATTTCCGCGTGCCGACTGCAGACTTGAGAATTTCATTCCTAATACAATATATGTAGAAGAAATTCAGACTATTTAGCACATATATACTAAACATTTCATTCATAAATTCTTAAAAAACACAATTCATGATCGAGGTGAAACGTCGTAATGCGTAAAACGAAAACGGACTATTCTCTCTCTTACGTGGAATAATGTTGAATTAAAGTTTTTGTTTTGTTTATTTGTTTAGAATATACGTGTTGCTTTTCATTTTATTTTTATAACTTTCGAATTTATTATGCTATAGATGTATAATGTAAGTATGTATACCTATTAGGTACTTACTTTTCAATAAATAATATTATTTTTGTTGTAATTTTCTCTTCCTACTTCTAAATTTTACCTAAAAAGTAGGTACAGGTAAATATTCCGTACTAGACTGGAACAAGATTAGGTATGCATGACGAAATTGCGATACATTTGCGAGACTCTCGTACGAGACGCGAGATAAGACGAGACTCGAGGCTGCGAGACGAGACTCGAGACGAGACTTTATATTTTATCGGCGAGACGAGACGAGACTTTATAAGTCTCGTCTCGTTGGTCTCGTGTGAATCACTAGTCAATCTAACTCCGCGATTCGATTTCTAAAAATTACGAATCAAGTGGTTGTTTAGTAATTAGAATAGAATGAGACTTTCAGTTCTTCCTCAGAGACAGAAATATTGCTCGCTTATTATCCTGAACTGGCACAACAAAAGCCATCAACAGTTGAAAAAGTATCCGCTTTTCTTCCGTGGAAAGAAAGTTATTTTATAAAAAGTGACATTTTTGAGATGAAATGTAAAATTTTTGCCCCATCACAGAAGAAACCATAAATTTGCTCACAAGAAAACCGACGGTTCCTATTGAAAAAATATCACATTATAAAAATCAGAAAATCATTATCCTACAAACATCATTCAATTCATACATATCCTCTACCCAAGAAATTGTGATGATATCGAATATTTTTTCACTTGGAGTAATGACCCTAATAGCACACAACGTCCTAGGGACGTCCCTATTTGGTACAATTCACGTCCGAATGTCCCGAACCAAAATTAAGTGTCCTTGGGACGTCCCATCCCGTACATCTCATGCAATGTCCGAGCCAGGACGTTCACGAAATGTCCCAGCTGGTACATCATTTCAAATGTCCTAGAAATGGCATCACTCAGACCTCCCACGTGGTACATATTGTAGAATGCCCATGCAAGGACGTCCTTGGCATGTCCCTGATGGGATATGATTTCAAACGTTCCTTTAGGGACATCCATCGGATGTCCCGAGAAGTACATGACTTCAGATCTTATATAATGTCCCTTCTAGACAACCATGAAATGACCCTGATGGTACATTCCTTCAAATATCTCTGCACAGGCGCCCTCAATATTTCCAGGATCGTATAATCGAAATGTCCCTTAGGGACGTCCTTCGAATGTCCGTCGTATGTCCCAATTGGTACATGAACTGTACTCTCCCAATGTTCTAGAAATAACATCCTATGGACGTCCTTGTCGGTACTTTCAATATGTTATCCCTGCGAGGACGTTAACTTACACCTCGCCGACGAATGGTTGCTCGTAGGCTATAAGTACTCCTCGTCAATGTCCTTCACGTAAGTCCATTGGACATCCTTGGGAAACTTTTTGGGGACCTTCTACGGACCATCAACTCAACTGGATGTCCTAATCAGTTATGCAAGATCTGGTCCTAAAGGGACCCAGACAAATTCAAATTCAAGAATAATTCGTACGTCCCTGGGACATCCTATGGACATCCAATTGATATCCCTCAGCGTTGCTGATAAGTTGTCCTATGGATGTCCGAAGGACGTCCTCTGTAGTGCTTGATGAGGAATACTGTGGGATTTAGGTATTCGATAGTTGTCCCAGGGACGTCCCTCTTGGTCCTCAAGTGGGACATTTGTGCGACCCACAGACGTCCAATGGACGGCCACGGTTCCAAATTCGACGTCCTAAAGATATCCATGGGACATAAATATGTTATTAGGGGATGTACTGACAGCACCTGAATTGTAATGGAATCATTAAAATAGTAATGACAGCTATGAGCAAAGCCAGAGACAATCGCCTGCGGTTTTAACTTACGTTGAACCAATCGCTGCTGCCTTTCTGCCACTCGGGCCTGTTCCAAACTAGGACGCTTCGGTCTGCCCCTCCGCTGGGTCTCCCGATGGGTGCTTCTACAGTGGCATTGACCATCTGGGTGGAATAGTGGTTGATGGCTATGTAGTCATGGGTGCCTTTGATGAGTTCGATCTCCTTGGCGGAGAGTACTGGGAGGCGAGATTGCGAGTATCCTTCCAAACGACTTCTCATCGCAACGCGGCTTTTCACTACTTCTGGCCAGTCGCCGATGAAGATTGGGTGGCCGTAAATGCCCAACTGGAAAAATAATAGTTATTTATGTATCAAGGGCGTAAAGTAGGCGTTTATGGCCTGTGGCGTGAATAATGGCCCGATGGCGCTAGCCGAGGGGCATTACACGCTGAAGGCTATAAACGCATTGATTTTTCACATGGAGGATGAAAATTCGAAATAGATTGATCATAGACTGCAGAATTTTACTTTTCAACATTCTTTCAGGTAGGTAGCCGTGCGGACAGAGTGTCTATATTCTAATTCGCATTCGCTTGCCGGTCGTGGGTTCGATTCTCATCGACTGCAGAAAGTGTTTGGGATCACACGTTAAAAGGTAAGGCCCCCGTCATTCCTTGCTCGCACAAGACTTTCGAAGACTTCTGAGGGTTGCTCGTAAGGGGGCAACCGAATGGATAGAACAATTTTAGAACAATTTTCAAATTTTTAGGTATAGTTAGACAATAATTGGATTGATCAGTAATACTTGAATGTGTGAACTTTTCTTTCACGAACTTGAAACTTGAATTTTAAACTTACATCGAATTGCAATATTCTCTGAGCGGCTTCTTGATCAGCTTCGCTGTCACTCCCAGGTTCCCAAAAGGTCGAGTCTAGTACAATTGATACTTTTCCTGAAATGTGACCAAATAAAAAATGGATCTCCGATTGAAAAAAGAAAGACGATAATTTCTGAAGAAGGTGGAAATTTTTTCAATTCTGTATGAAAACCCGATAGCTTTAGGTAGTGAGTGTTAGAAGTACTGGTATGGTGATAGGTAGCTCATATAAAAGCACTGATAACAAAATTATTGACTCCTGTTTCAGAACTACAAAAGGATAAAGCTAATCGGGAAAGTTTTGGTATCCGGAACTCTTCTAGGTCATATTTTATTTTCTTTCTATGCCAATGATTTGTCTTGATATACTTACTGGTAGGTGTCAACGAATCAATCGGACTAATTCCTGGAATATCATCATCAGATGTATTATAATGAGATGCGGTATAGGTAGATAGTATGTGAAGAAGAGATTTCTTGCATACTTTTCATTTGCTGGACACTTCCGGTTTGACCGGAAATGGGTTCAGTTTGGAGTTTTCGAATGGAACAACCTGAATATTGTTACATTTTTAAATCTCTGAGACGATTTTATTCCGTTCAAAAATTCAAAACCGGTTCAATTTCCGATCAAACCGTAAGTGGCCGGCATATACATGGTGTTTCATTGGGAAAGGTAAATAGTTCAACTGTGGATAGGGGTCACTGGGGTGATTTAAAAAAACCCATGGTTAATGGGTCTTCGACTTCTTATAACCGAGATACAGGATGTTTCATCAATTTTGTCCATATATCTTCATTGTCTCATAACTTTCCAACCAACCTGTATATATTTTTTAAATTGGTACACTTGCTCAATCTACCCTGTGGAATTGATTGAGGCAACAACAAGAGATAAAATCCAGGTCCGGCTTCACTTGAAATTCACAAATTCTTTCTGCCAGAAAACAACACCCTACACATTCGAATTTCTCATTTTTTTTGCCATATCTGAGAAGAACCTCAAAATTCCTATTCAACGATGTGCTTTTTATTCGTGCACAGACGATTTTAACTATTCATATTATGTGCTCAAAATATTATTTTTGCTCATTTTGGGGTACAAAATTGGAATCAGACGAGATTTATCAATTTCATTACTTCCTATTCAGTATACGTGAGTATTACATTTAGAAGGAGTATTTCATATCGTTCTTTGTTCCAGACTGAGTTGCAGGTCCGTCATCAAAACTATACAGGGGTTTTTACGATGAGATAAAGTCCTTCCATCTTCCATTCGATTTTGCAGTTAGGTAAATTACTAAACAACCCCTGAATTCGCAATCAAACAAAATCAAATCACAGAGTCAGACTGACAGATATTTGATAACTTCAAAATAATGATAGAGATGCCTGCAATACAAGTGTCATTACTGTCAAAAACTCAAAATTTCACGTCGATAATTTTCTGATTCCACTATAATGTAATATGTTCTCAATATTAATTTGTCCTTGTTCCTGTCACAAAAAAAATAGTGTATTATATGCACTGGACAATATTAGATTTCATTTCACGGCTTTTTGCCACACAGTCAAGAAATGAAATCAACAATTTTTTTTTCTTGTATAGTAAATAACGATTATTTATCCATAATACCCGACGAAGTGTAGGATTTAAATACCAATTATATCTCATTGTTGTATTATGATAAAGTTGTACTTTTCAAAAAACAGTTTCCGGAAATCTAGACATATTGATGATGCTGGCAACGTCGTACTGACACTAAAGTACGTCATTGAAATGGTGAAGGGGCCAAGTTTTCTGTCATAAATGTTTTTCTGAAGTAGAATTCGATAAAATAGAAAAAAATACTTATACTTTGAATTTTTACAAACTTCACAGTGGAATATTAGAATATCCTTAGAATTGTATCAGTCAACAGTATTTGGGAGTTTTTTTGTCTTATCTAATATCTATACAGATAATGTTCTTTTTTTACAACTTGATACATGTTTCAATCATCTGACATTCCTGTATACATTTCGATACTTCAGCTGGAAAAGTACTAGAGCTTTCAGAGATAAGCTACTCTACTTACTAGTGGTTCATTGTTTTTTATGTAAATGTTCGTTATTTGGGAGAAATTGAAGTGTGGAAAATTTCAAGATTTTTTTGATATCTAACAGAAAACAAGTATTCTCCTTGATAATATTTTGACTCACTCCGGATGATGATAATCATGTTTTTTAAATATGCTGATATATTCAAGATAGGTAAAGTATCATATATCTGATCGACATTTCCTCTACATGGGAATGATAGGAGATTCATTTTGCATTTATAATAACAAGATCGAATATAAAATAGGAATGTTGAACTGAAAGGACTCTCACTTGATGAGAATGATTAAAGTGCGAAAAATACTCACACGATATCAAATATATTCTTCATCTTCTGAAATAATTATTCAGAAGATGGAGAAGAGAAATAATTAGGTAAAATTCCATTTGAATTGATGAACATCAAGCCTGGTTGAGTTCCTTTGAGTTCACTATTCGTATTCAGAATAATGATGAACATTTGATATTATTTCGTTCAAATTCAGGAAACTTACTGGATATAGGTGGTTCTGACTCTGAATATTTATGGTCGCAATACATATAATATAGTACTTTCGTAAAGTACTGAATAAATTCATTTTCAGCCGAACTATTCATTTCAATCAATTCTCAATTCGCAACATCATGAAAAAATTAAATATACAGTTTGAGTAATAACGTTCGCGAATTTTTTTTCAAATGCAACACACTTTATATTGTTCAAATTCTGGAATCTCCTTGGAAACCTGAAGTTCCTGAGATATAAAAACAATATTGTGGCTATTTCGTAGTTAAACACAATATGTTGATTTTCGAATTGGATCAAATTTGTATCAACACACAACAATCAGTATACATGTTGTACCTACTCAATCATGAATTACTCCAATTATTGATTTTCATCAACTTTGTAGTTGATATTCGATTTGTTTAGTATTAATATATGTATGTATCATGAGATATGACATATCTGTGGATACTGCTTTTGGGTTAGTCCTGTTTGTATTCCTTTTCGTAAATAAAGGAAGAAATAAATGAAGAAATCCTGTGAGAGACGTATACAGGGTGTTTCCTAACTACGGTTCCTAGCTGCAGGGGGTGATTTGTAAGGTCATTTTGAGAAGAAAAGTTCCTATGAATATATGTCCGGAGTTGCTTCGTATCTGAGATACAGGGCGTTGAAATTAAAGAAGAAAAAAAAAACGATATCATGAGTATCCTGATACCGATTTGGTTGAAATTTGGTACTTTTATTTGTCAAATTTTCTAAAATTTCAGCATATCAAGTGTCAATTATATTTTTGGTGGAAATAATGAAAACCTCATTTCTCCATTCTTCATGATATGCAATACAGTGGCTTTAGTTCTCGAAAATAAAGCTGGATATGGAGAAAATACAAGAGACCAAAAAGTTGTATTTTGAGTTGCTTAATCTTGGAAAAATAAAAATTCACCAAAAAAAGTCAGTGGCGTACTTTTTTTTTACAATATTGTTGGCTGTGGTGCCTACTGAGACGGCACTGGCCCCAATAATCTCATTCTGAAAAGAGCTGAATAAGCACCTAATTAGTTCAAATAAAAGTGACAAATTTTAACCAAATCGGTTACAGGATATTCATGATATTTTGTAATTACTGTTTTTTTTCTTCAATTTCGTCGCCCTGTATCTCAGAAACGAAGCAAATCCGGACACATGTTAATAGTAACTTTTCTTCCTAAAATGACCTAACAAATCACCAACTGCATTTAAGAACCGTAGTTAGGAAACACCCTGTATAATCATCATCACTCTCACGAATGATTTTGTAATGTTCAAGCTCAACAAGATAAGTGTTTGTACAAATATACTTCTCCCTCCTATACATTCCATTTGTCATTTCAATTCTGAATATATTGGTTATATATATCATATTATTCATCTGATTTGAAAGAGAATGTCAATTCTCGATTTCAGACAATTTTTATTTCCATATCTTCCTCTTGAGTGTTCAAGAAATACTAGGTGGGCCAAAATAAATCACCCTATTGGAAGATGCTTTTATTTTTGCAAATGGCGGCCAATGTCAGATTTGTTTCGACAATTACAGTATGTAGAATACAAGTGAACAAGCCATGGAGCGATACACTCCCCAAGAAAGCGGAATAATCCAAGCCAAGCCATCCTCAATCTCGTGGACCAAAATCATAATGAGCGACAAGGCTCATTTCCACCTCAGCGGGTACGTGAACAAGCAGAACTATCGCTTCTGGGGCACTGAAGATGCACGAGGAGCCATTACACCTGCTCAAAGTGACCTCATGGTGCGCTGTTTACTCTGGAGGAGTCATCGGGCCATTTTTTTATCGAGATCGACGCTGGTCAAACGACAACAGTGGGCGGTGCGCGCTATAGGGCCATGTTTACCGAGTTTTTTCTGCCGCAATTGATCGAATTAGGACTGGAGGACATGTGGTTCCAACAGGACGAAGCCACAGATTAACAAATGAGGTTTGTTAATCTGTAACGAAGCAATGGCACACACTGCGCGAGCCACAACCAATATTCTGAAGGCGGCGTTCCCAGATCGCCCCATCTCTCGTTTTGGCGATTTACTCTGGCCCGCAAGATCGCCCGATTTAAGTCTCAGACTTTTTTTGAGAGGTTTATTGAAGTCTTGTGTTTACGTGAACAAGCCTGAGACCCTGGAAGCCCTCAAGGACAACATTGGACATGAGTGCCAGAATCTGTCGCCCGAAGATCTCGCCGAAGTGATGAAAAATGCTAGAAAACGAGCCCGTATAGCAATCAATTGTGGCGGCGCCCATTTGGCCGATATCATCTTCTCGACTTGACCAATACAATTCTAAATGTTCAACATAATCAAAAAACAGATTCGAAGCTTTTCATTTGGAAAAAAATGAGAGCCAAATAACATCGGATGACTTCTTTTGGCCCACCTTGTATAATTCTGAGTTCGAAGTGGCAACACTGGCGAGTAGCCTTCAGAATAGTCATTTGAATTTCAGAAGGTATCAACTGTATTTCAAATGATATTGTTCCACCACTGATTACCGAGGTAGTTTTCGTAATTTTATGAACCACTAGTCAATAAAGACATAGCCACCTCTTTTGTAATTAATCCGAATGCACCGTTCTAATCAGATATCCGCAGGAATGACACTCGAATTTAGTCGGTATCTATTGATAACGACTTGTCATATATGCTGTCATGGTTATGACCATGGTGGAAATATAATATGGTGTGCTACTCACGTATCTTGTATTCGTCTTTTCTGCCCATAACCTGAGGCCCATAACGTCATTACGAGTCTATACTCGCACCAAAACGATCAAGGCACCACGGACGAATTGATAACAACAAGCTCAGACTGCGAGCAATTGTTTTACTCGCAGTGACGTATACGAAGATGGCGTCGTAGCATACCATTATACCATGGTCATGGCTATAGGTATTGAAAAAAAGGGCGTTCATAGTGACAATAAATTCATATTTCAGTTACACAGAACTGGAATTATTAAAATATATTATACCCCTTGGCTGAAGCCTTGGGATATGATCTTGGTCCCTGGGTGATGATAGTATTCTTTACTACCTTGGTGTATAAAGAACTACTCTGAACTACAAATGACATTTTCTGAAATTCAATCGAGTATTCTGAAATACAATTGACCATTTCTGAAATTAAATTGACTATCCTGAAATATAACTGAAAAAGATGTAGAGTATTGGTTTAATGTCACTTTATTGCAGTTTGGCGGATGAGAACTGGAAAATCCAATAAATGAAGGCTCAATTGAAGAAGCTAATGATCACTGATTCTTTATTTTGCCATCATGGACTCTCACTTTTTACTTATCCGTTTTTTCAACACCCTCTACCTAATACCTCTGCGACATTTTTTAGGATGTTCCTCAGGTGAGTTACTTTTTCATAACTACATATTTCGAATTAATTCAGCAAAGACCAACATTCGATCGCTAAACCGTCCACAAAAGGATTGCATTTTTGGCACCCTCACAAAATGGGAATCTATGGAATGGAATCGAGTGCTGAAATAGCCAACAAGTGGTCAAATTGTTTCCGAATGTTCTAAAGAGGTGACGCATGTTCTTGAATGTTCAATATCTATTCATAATGTCTGAGAGTGTTCTGAAATGTTTCATCATATTCCGGAAAGTTCTAGAATGATCAAGAACTTTCCAGAAGGAGTAGAATGGTTCGAGATGTTCTAGAATGTCCGAGAATACTCTCAGATGATTTATACAGGTCCAGAATGTTCTTGAAAGTCCTGGAATGTTTCAGAATGTACAAGAATGTCTCGATGTTTCCAGAGCTCCCAAGAGACTTCTTGTTCCAAAACGTTCGAGAAAATATTATCATCATTATACTTATACAGGGTGTTAACAAATAAGTGTCACCAACGGAAAACTGTAGATTCCTTATGAAAAGAGAACATTTTTTCCCTTTCGAAATTTTTTTTCCGGGCTTCCGTTTCCAAGATACAGGGCGTCCAAAAAATACAAAAAAATCTGATTTTGCTACTATCTCAGGAACCGTCTGAGCTACGGAGTTAAGCCTTCGTACACACTTCATCATCAATAATGACTAGTTTTAGGGCTCTTGATCAATTTCCTTGGATTCAACGCCTCGTAATGGTTTAACCCTCCAAACATTCATGCCACTGGAGAAATTGTAATTTTCAAAGTAGATTTGGAAGCGTTAATATCTAAATCCTGATGATATCTCCAAAAAATCGTCTAAAAATTTACTGGAAATAAACACCTCAGAACTGTCTAATAATATGTTCAATCAAATATCAGGTTCTTGAGTATGCTGGTGTCGATGCTGGTTGTCAAATTGTCAAGTTTATTGATAGTTGTAAAGTGTGTTCAATCAAACTGAACATTTCTGATTCTTTGTCGCCCTGTATCTTGAAAACGGAAGCCCGGAGAAAAATTTTGGAGAAGAAAAAAATGTTCCTTTTATTATGAGGAATCTACAGTTTTCCGTTGTGACACTTATTTGTTAACACCCTATATAGCTCAATAATATCTGTATTCCTAGGTGGCTTCACTGAACTCATATAGCTCAATAATTCCTGTATTTCTTGGTTGATTTTTTTGATCCACGTTCTATATGAGTGAGCTTTATCAGGTGTTATATTGGCTATTGAATATAATAGAACAGGCGCTCTCCAAAACAACTTGATTGACCATTACCATCAAAACTAATTAATCATATCACAAATGAGGGACTCGTATTTCTGAAATATCTTCCCATATTTTTCATTCTCTTATGAGTAGGCACTTACCTTTGTTCCTCGACCTGAATTCCTTATCATAAATACGATACGCCTTTGCATGAGCCAACAGGACATTCTTCACACAAACATAATCTCCAACACCATCCGATTGTATTCCGGGGGCGAAAGCACCTGAGCCGTATCCAGCCAAACACACCTGTTTGGGCTCATTGATGGTTATCCAAGAAGTCACGTCATCATTGAAGAGCTCGAAGCATAGTCTGGCATAATCTGCGAAGAGGTCAGCAACCGTTTCATTCAGCCAACCTCCCAGAGAATCTTGTAGAGGTTGGGGCAAATCCCAATGGTACAGGGTCACCAAAGGCTCGATATGGTTCGCCTTCAGTTCTTTGAATAGGTTCTTGTAGTACTTAACTCCCAGACTGTTAACTTGGTCTGTGTACCCAGTAGGTAATATTCTGGACCAGGCTATGGATAGTCTATAGATATCCAGTCCCATTTTCTTCACCAAGGCGACATCTTCCTTGTATTTATGATAAGAATCGCAAGCTACATCAGGGGTGGATCTGTCTACTATCCTCTCTGGGTAAGTATGTGCGAAGTGATCCCAGATCGTTTCTCCTTTGCCTTCTAGATTCCATGCACCCTCAATTTGAGGAGCTGCATTTGCCGCACCGAATTTGAAGTTGGGCGGAAAGCGTCTGGTGTTGAGGCCAGCATCATCAGCCACGCTGCAAAATGTATTTCATTTGTGAGCTGTGCTCTTTCAATTCAAAACTTCGGTGTAGTTATTCAATGAAGAAGTGGAATCTTGCGAGCTTATACGAGTGTTCATGTCAACAATCATAGACCAGTGTCCAAATTATGTATATTAGCAAAATTGTTTGAAAGTATGATATTTGAATATCTTTATCATGATGTCATGCAAATTTTGAATATACAACAACATGGATTTGTCAGAAAGCGCTCTGTCGAAACAAATTTATTCGAATATACTGAATATATATTGAAAAGCTTGAATAGCCGAGTTCAAGTGGATGCCGTTTACACCGACTTCAGCAAAGCTTTTGATAAGATCGATCATACATTGCTGGTACAAAAGCTGGCTGATGTCGGTGTAACCGGCTGCCTATTGAATTGGTTTCAATCTTACGTGAGTGATCGTAAACAGGTTGTTTGTATTGGCAACTATCTCTCAAGATCAGTTAACATAACGTCGGGTGTACCTCAAGGTTCACATCTAGGTCCCCTACTATTCAACATTCATATAAATGACATTTCTGAATGTTTCAAATTTTCGTATTTTCTTATGTATGCTGATGATCTCAAAATATTTCATACAGTTTCACACTTGGACGATTGTAAGCTAATTCAAGAGGACCTTGACCGATTTTCAGAGTATTGCAGGAATAACGCCCTTTTTCTGAACCTCAACAAATGCCATCAGATGACATTCAGTAGAAATTTCAACTTGATAACCAATAATTACACCATTCAGGATCATAATCTCCACACCTGTAGTGAAGTGAAGGATTTGGGAATTATCTTGGATTCGAAAATGACCTTCAATAAACATATTTCTTACATATCTAAGAAAGCGAACAAAATGCTAGGTTTCATTTTAAGAACAACTTAGCCTTTTAGAAATTATAATACCTTGCGTACTCTTTTTATGTTATACGTAAATAGTCTGTTAGGCTTTGCGTCAACTATTTGGAACCCCCACTATATAATATACATGAAACAAATAGAAAGTATCCAGAACAAATTCATTTATTATGTCAACAGAAAATATTTCGATAACACTCCACAATATCACTTCGTACATCAAAAACTCAATTTGATCAGTCTTGCTGACAGAAGAGCTATTGCCGACATTAAATTTTCTTTCAAAATTATAAATGGTATCATTCATTCTCCGTCCATCAATAACTTGATTTATTACAATATTCCACAATATTCCACCCGCCATTATAATCTGTTCCATACATCCATACCAAACACAAATTACTATTTGAATTCCCCTTTACATCGATGCTTGAAAAGTTATAACTCTATTTCAAACATAATAGAGATTGATATTTTTTCTGACTCTTTAACTACCTTTGTGAACAAACTTAAGAAACACTTTGTACTATCGCCTAATTGATATGTTCAGTATTTTTTTCATATACATATAAAATATTTCTACTGTATTGTATTGAATTGCAACATGACATATTTAGTAGTATATATGTGAATACTGTTTCTGGGTTCGTCCCGTTTGTATTCCTGTTTGTGAAAATAAAAAATAAAATAAAAAAATAAAACTGTTGTGATGATCAAACCGAGTGAAACTTGATATTTCAGCTAGACGCTTCTCTGGGAAAGCTAGTATGCATCAACGAGTACCAAACTGATCGTATGTGAAGATATGTAGTGGATTCCACTGGAGTGATCATCAGTAGGTTCCGATAAGCGAATAAAGATTCCCATAATAGGTTAGTAGATCACTCAAAGGATCATAGTCTACGAAAATACACAAGGGGTACCCTAGTGTAGTCGTCTGGATCACGTTTCAGGAGATATTTTAATTTGGTAGGACCTCATTTCGAGATATAAACTGGAGAGTGTGAAACAATATACAATACCAAGAATTAGTTCGAGGACATAACAAAGGACAAGGCTCTGAAGGGTGAACACACTCGTTTAACATCTCACAGGTATCTGGAGTTTTCCTTGATGAATTGTCTACCTAATATGTTGAGCTCATCAGGCAGCAAGTTGTTCAAGTCGAGAGGGTCATATTAGAGCACTGTTTCCATTCTTCAATTGGTCAAGTGAATTGGATTTGGGAACAACATCAACTCCTATAAATGACTTCGAAAGGGGACTCCCACCAAAGTATGGCCTAGTCCCACTCAGGTCAGTCTTGACTTATGAGGCGTTGATTTAACTGCTAGGACAAATCATGGGCATCACAAAAAATCAAGGAGAATGATCACTGGGTGAGTTTTTGTTACTTGAGCAATGTATAGGTACAGTTTTTTCATCTTTTGTAGTACACGAAAGGCAATCCCCATTATGTTCGATGAGTTCGAAAAGGGACGTTCACCAAGGCAAGGCACTGGATAGTCCAGTCTAGTTTTGACATACCTGGTATATGAGCGGCATACTGGAATAGGATATTCAGTTTTATCTTTCTCTGAAAATGCTAACATAGTTAGGAAAACACTTGTCGAGACGTTGTAAGAATCGATTTGGCAAGTGGTAAAACAGTTTAGTGTAATGGTTGTTTGTATAGCATTGATTTGGTGAACTGAGAAACTGGGTTTCAAATTGCACACACTTTATATCAAAAGTCAGAAGTCACAATCCAAAAAGTGGTATCACGAAATTCTTCAGGATTCCTGCATTTTTTTGCTAATGATCTCCATGAAGTGGATATTAGGTATTCATCAGGTAGATACTTTTGCAGTGCCTCAGCGAGTAACTAGTAAAACGTGTTTGATTGATCACTTGGGATGGGATTGGGTAACAGTAGAAGAAACCACGACATAAAACCTCTGGCTCAAATGAGGAAGAGTATTGCACAAAAATTAGTCATTAAAACTACCTGTCAATAAACCACCCCTTAGCACATTTTTTATGTACAGGTTTCCTGATAGCCCACCTAAGTCTGCGACCTATGAGGATTGCTGCTAGAGGGGGAGGGAATGAGAACTCTGACTCGCTGCGCTTGGTGGAAAATATCACCGTTGTATTAGGTGCTTTTGAAAAAAGTCAAACAAAATGAGTAAGAACGAAATTTTTCACAACTTTGGTAAGTGCATCTTTGCTCCGACCATTAGTTTTCGCTTCGGTCGTTTGTAATTCTCAATTAGATCTGAATTCAATCGCTGATTGAGATGGAAATGCTACCAGACAATTCTCTAATATTTCTTCCTACAAGAGTTGGGCTTTCAAAGTAGGTAGCCGATTCAATACATCTAATCTTATATAATGAAATATACGATTTTTTGTTTACAAAAATCAATTCACCTATGAAAATCCACCGCAGAATGTTCTCAAAATGTTCCTACATCATTATATTGCTGAAAGGGCACTTCATACGTGTGTTCTTTCCTGAAAATTCGCATACTCAATGCTCTTACAAGCTGAGATCAATGAACTCAATATAAACACTGCTGAGATATGAACGAAAAATAAAAAAAGGTACCTTCTACGTCGCCCCCTGCACTTGGCACACTTGTAAGTTTGGGAACCTTCAGAATGTCCACTTTCTATCTACTCCAAACACATCCCTAGTGTGAAAAATTTTGATGTGCTCCTCCTTGTCCTCTACACCTTCTTATTAGGCCTATATTGCCTGAGATACTTCATGAACAATGATGAATATCTAAAAAACCGCTGGAGAATCCGGGACTTTGGAATCATTGATAGAATCTCATTCGTTGAAACAACGATAGCTAGTACTTCTTCACAAAAGATATGCGAACATGTTACGAAAAACTGAAAATTTCTAGAAACAGCATAATAAACAGCTGAAAAATCACACAATAATATGAACAATATGCCATTACATATATTTAAATGATTTTCGACACGTAAAATTATTCATACTTGACCGTGGCACCTGTATTTAACCAAGTTGAAACGCAGAGATCAGATGTTCCCAGAAACAAAAAAGATTTGGGAGTCCCATCGTACTAGAAAGCGGATTTTTTGAATAATTATTATTCTTTTGAATAACGTTGTGCGGTTTTTTGCATTGTAGCACAGCCATTTCGCGGATCTGGGAGTCTCATCGAACTAGGTTTTGTGATGATGTGGACTCATCGACTATGAAACCAGCAGTGCTACAGTTCAACTGCTTTCAGGACATGTTCAAGATACCTGATTTTTACCTATTGTGAATAATTAGTGTCACTCACCTGAGTGCAAATAAGCTGAACAGTACTATGATCCGCATGTTCACCAATGACACAGTGATGGAACTATTGATTTCGATCGTGTTTAAAAAGAGAATCTGAAGAGCACTTGAGATATGAGAGTATACCGATAAAAAAGGGATCGCAAGTATAGGAAATTTTTTATGTAGTCACATATGAAGATCATGACTGATAACGGCATATTAGGCAGTCATGTAGGTACTTGAATAAGTAGAATGAGAGGTGAAAGATTCTTGTTGTAACAAATATAGACCTACTGGTGTCTCTAATAGGTTCTTATAATGTTTCGATACCCAAGGAACAAAACAAATGAAGGTTGACAGTAAACATTAAGATAGTTTGGTGACATCAACTTCTCATCTTGTGATGTTTCACCTTGTTAAAAATATGTTTTGCGAAATTTTCAAGTTAAGCTGAATATCGTTGCAACGAACATAAAGTTTGTGATACCCTAAAAAAATTAAAATCCAAGTTAATTGCACAAATATGCTTGAATTTGAATACAGGTATGCTGAACTAATTTTGTCATGATTGACTTATGGAAGTGTTCAGGGTGAATATGTTTGGTATTTAGGCATAACTTTCAAGTGTAAACAACTTTTTTCTATATTATTTCGCTGAATTTCCTGAAATAGGGGTACTTTTACTCTTGAGCAAGTTTTATATATCTTCTACCTACCCTGTATGCTGTTTGACTTGCAACTATTCTTAGTGCAAGTTAAATGATCACCGAACATGCACCAACTTTCGGCACTATCTGTATTTTGGTTGTGCAATTCATTCAGAATGATTCCCATATGTTGCACACTTAACCGATTCAATCAATTTTGCTGTCATTTGGCATCCTAATGTGAATTATAAACTGAATAAAATGGTCCGAAATAGCAATCATTGTGATTTCAGTGGGACGCTCAATTCGAGTCACGAATGTGATGGGTGATGTGTGGCATGATATCTCTGGGATCAATCTGTGTCAACTGGGATTTTTGTTTCAAAATGCCCTCATCAGATTTTGCATAACTGTTTCCGTTCATGATTTTGGAAAACACATTTTTCTTATCTCTGTAGGGGCACACTATAGGAAATTCCTGTGATGTTCAAAGAACATCGTGCGTTCGGGTGCTGAACCCCATATGAGAGAACAGAATTCTAAAACTGGCCGTATATGTGCTTTGTAGATCATGAGGAGTTGTTGAGGTGTAAAGTAGATTTTCGCACGGAATGAAAATCCGAGTTTTTGTGAAACAGCTTTCGCGATGGATCGGACAAGATTTTCTGTATTGCTGATACGTTTTAATGGCGTTAATTTCAACTAGGTTGTTGGTGTCCTAGACTGTAATTTCAGCAAGATTGCCATTGACAGCGTTGGCCTGCCTCGGTTGTGAATTCTTAGCTTCCAGGGAAGAAATGGAAATAGTGGAGAATGCAGTATGGAGTTTTTATCGCAATATTAGTCATAACATAGGAGGTGAAAGACGCAAGGCCTTTTATTCGAGAAACCTAGCAGTTTCAAACAAAGTGGGATGCACTCACTGTACACCAAGAACTGATGAATCGGCCAATTCATCATTGAATAAAAATGCCAACATATCATTAATTATATCTCAGATATAAGTAGTTTCAAGTTGATAATGTCATGTAACAAACCTATAAATATTTCTTTAATCTGTCCTCTAGTGGGTTTACTTCTGTTCGGACGATTAACGACTTTTTGTAAATGGAGATAAGTAGATAAGATTTATTCATTGAAGGAATTTATCAACTATAGATTAAGATCATTATTGAGAACAAAATATCAAAGTAGACAGCAAAATAAGAATGCTGTTTTATATTTCCATTTGATTATAATTGATAATACAGTTTTCAACTGTTTCGATTATTTTTTGAATTGAAACAATGATATATTATTTTATATCAGAGGTTGCATTTTTGAATAAATGGATCTGAAATCGTCCTTCATCGAACACAAAATGCATTCTCTATTCATTTTGTAGACACACTACAAAATCATAATACAGATATGGGACCTGTGAATTTTTCTTTTATGTTCTATGTCTACTTACAATGTCTTTTCTAATACCGTTTTCCACTCTTCGTAGTAGCTCGAACTTTTTCCTCACTGAATAATGTTTGGCTTTATACAGGGTTGGTCAAAAATTTGCGTGAATAAACTAATGGCCAAAATGTATATTGTGGGAGATATATTCTTCCGAAATTGATAAAATTTTGATAATCTTTCCGCATAACTTCGAAACGGTAAATCCACAAGATTGAATTTTCCTGAATGAATGTATGTTGATAAAATACATTTTTCTGATGAATTTCACATTTCTGTTATTGTTATGAAGGGTGCTTTTTAGATGCTGGGTCATGATATTTTTAAGACAACATTTTTCCTCAAAAATTGTTACCTTTTTCCAGATATTTGAGTTTTTTTAGAGATATGATATCAGCAGATAAATCCTTCGGTAATGATGTTTCATGCCTCGAACTTCTTGGCCGGACACCATCTCTATTTTTCGTTTCAATAAACTTTCTTTTTTATGCAATCTTTGCACAATCTTCAAAGATAGCTCTGATATTTAGAACTCTTCGAGCAGAAAACATCTCGGCATAATGAATAACCTGAGATAGCAGTAACAATAATACTAAGCCAAATAACTAAACAAGGAAATGAACAATAACAATGTATTTCGAAAACGGTTACAATGTTTGTATTTTGATATTAGAACCGTTTTCATGTATTTAATTTCCCTATATTAGTTGCATCTATTTTTACACCAAAAAACAGGAGAAAAATTGTTTTCAGGAAATCATGACCACTCAATGAAAATACCTATTATGACAATATAAAAAATTTAGAAGTGTAACAGAAAAATGTATGTTATCAACATACTTCACAAGGACCATCATTTCTGAGGCTCTTACTTCGGCGCATGTTGAACAGACTTCTTTTGATCCTGTCGGGGAGTCTCGGACACCAGATTGTTTATGAGGTGGTTTACTCCACCTGCTTCTATAAACTCAGTTTATAAGGAGGCCTAGGTAACAACCTTGGTACCTGGAAAAGGTGAATAAGCTAGGAATTGGTGTTCTTCTCGAATTTCTGGAGATGATATAGCTCCGGGAACACCTCCCTTGGCAATGTGTTCCAGAGCCTCGCTGTTCGTTGGATGAACGAGTCTTTGGAAAGAGATGTTCTGCAGGTCTACAAAGTGGCCAAGAAGGGGTGCGAAGCCTCAATTCGAAGGGTTAATCTCGCGTGGAACGCCAAGGGATGAACAATGGGCGTGTACACCTCAGTAGATCTTTTAACTCAAACCATGTTTATAATGATCCTTTTATACATGAATAATGATTGACGACATAATTGGATCGAAAAATTAACTGGAATATTTTATTTTTGGGCATACATAATAGAACCTTCTGAAAACGGACCCTCTTATGACGTAGAAACCTCATCTCGCCATAGTCAAAAGAAAATACCAAACGCCCGACGGAGACTGAGGCAACTGATATATTAATTCTTTCAACTGTAATCTCGCGCTAATTCACTGTTTCAGAAATCATGAATCATTCATCTCTGTCTGGAATAAGTGGAATAGTCTTGTTTCAATATAAGGGTTTTGACATCATTGCCTCGTTTTCAGAGGTCCGAAAAATTGGGGATTTCAATAATTTTTTATAAATCGTAGGGAGCTCACAGCAAGAAACGGTTTGCGGTGGTGAGCTAGTTTGGGTGAGTTCTATCGAATTATGAATTTTTTCGTGATATAAGCCCATTGTTGATATTTCAGAACATCGTTCATGAGAATATCTATGAAATAGAGCCAGATCGCCAACTTTTCTACGGTGTTCCAGAGAAGTGAGCGAGGTATCACCCACGAGACAAATTGCCCATTTTTGGATAGAGTATGTTTGAGTGCTGCACTCCAAATATGGATACAGTATTCCAGGACATGTCAGATCTGTGTACTTATAGATCAAAAGTAGCTGACTGAGAGTTATGGTTACGGTTACTCCTGATAAGCTTATGCTGGACACAGTGAGATCGGCTTTTCTAGAGAAAAGGCATCCTTATGTTTTGTTTGCATTGAAATCTACCAAGTTATTGGATACTCATCCGAAAATTGTTGCCAAGTCCATATTTATGTTGTCAACATTTCTCCCTCGTTCGTTTCTGATTTGCCTGGCTGGTATTGGAGCCCTGGAAGAGAAGGCGGTATGGAGGGTACTATCATCCGCGAAGCTGTGTACTGGACATGGAGTTGTTGCTTCGAACAAATGGTAAATATGAAGTAGCAATAATGTTGGTGCTAGAATGGATCCTTGCAGAACACCAGCATTTATGATGAGACAGTCAGATGAAACTCCGTCGACCACTACGTGGAGTGATCTGTTTGAAAGAAAACTAGCTGACAGTAGAGAACATAGATGAGGAGGCAATCCATAAGATGAAAGCTTGGCGAGGAGTCCGTGCATAGTGCCAGAATCGATCGAATGCCTTGGAGATATCTAGTGCCACGACTGAGGTTTCACCATATTTTTCGATAGATCGCTGCCATATATGTGAAAGTTTTAACCACGGGCCAATGTTATTGAATCGACCTGGAATCAATAAGCCACGTGGATTAAGGCTTCAATAACAAACCCTGGGTTTAGCCTGGAATACAGGTTGCTATCTTTTTGGTAGATAACTACAGGAATCAAAGCAAATATCTTTGTCGGGAACTGTCTCTGGTATTTTCAGGTTATGCCTGGAAAATTATTTATTCAAACTATTTCATTAAGTTAAGAAACACAATTCCAAACGAATTAAAAAGATTCAATTCGTATTTATCTTTCCTTTTTCTTAAATTTTTTAATTTTTGCAATATAGGAATTTTGGTGAGGTTAATTATCTTTTTATATTCATGTAAAAATTTCATGAACCACATTCCACAGCCTGACAGGATACCAAGCACACGGACACCGGCGCACAGGATTGGAATGCTGAAGGAATTGGGGAAGAAGAAATGACAATTGACTATGTCAGCCGTCAAACAGTGACAATAATCAATTTGGCAAATGAAAATAATGAAATTCATTGAATAAATTATTGTAACTATTCGGAACTGAAAACAATGACAACAGAGACAAAAATATGAAATAT